AACTGCTTTTAAATTATTTCAAATGGCACATAGTCTTTTCTGGATGTGAAACAGAGACAACTTGTTTTTCCATGTGGATTTTGGGGACATATAAAAGAAAGCAGTCCCTATTTTGTTTCATGACTCACAGGATAAACAGAAGGGAATAGTCATACTATTATTTCACATATGAAATAGTATGTGGCCCCCAAATTCATATGTTGAAAGCCTATCCCCCAAGATGATGGTATTAGAAGGTGGAGCCTGTGGAAGATGATGAGGTCATTAGGGCAGAGCCCTCACAAACGGAATTTAACGAGGTCTGAGAGAACTCCCCCCATTCATTCATGCAAGGACTGCTGTGTATGTGAAGTAGTTACATGCTAACAAACATTGCTGTTTAGATTTTTTTTAAATCACTTTTTCTCCTCTATGAAAAAATAAAGTTTTAGCTTTTTTTGTTTGCTTTTGCTTTACCAAAAACAAACAAGCAAAACACACACACACACACACACACACACACACACACACACACACACACACACTCAAACAAGCAAACAAAATACACAGGGCAAATTCTCACCAGAGCTGAGTCTGGGCAAGTCGGTTACTGCAACAAAATACCATAAACTGGGTAGCTTATAAATGGCAGGCATTTATTTCTCACAGTTGTGGAGGCTGGAAGTCTAAAATCAACCGCACCAGCAGCTGTGGTATCTGGTAAGGGCTGCTCTTTGGTTCATAAATGGTGGTTCTGTTGCTATGTCCTCACATGGATGAATGGGGGGAGTGCTCTCAGACCTTGTTAAATCCCATTTGTGAGGGCTCTACCCTCATGACTTCATCACATTCCACAGGCTCCACCTTCTAATACCATCAACTCGGGGGATAGAATTTCAACATATGAATCTGGGGGACAACAAAACTTCAGACCAAAGCAGAAGAAAACACAAGAGGCAGATCAATCCCACATTGCTAATGGAAGTGAAGGTAGAAGAGATTAAATTGATATTCAATTGATGTTCAACATTATAATGCCAAAACAAAACAAAATGAAACAACTATGCTTCTGTATTGAGAGTTTATTGAAAATGTCTTCTGCCCCATCATGTGTTTATATCTCTGTCAACCAGTCATTAACATTTGTCATGAAATTGCAATTCTTTATGCAATAGATCTCAAACTTAATAACTGTCGAGCTGTAATTTTGAGAGGATGGTAACATACTGGAGTGAACTAGAATAAACTCAGGCTAGGCTTTGAGAAGACTTCACATACTTTTAAAGACAAATAGTTAATTTTATATGGTTATCGAGGTACTCAAAGCCACCTGTTTGGTTTGCTTTGCTATTACTGAGAAATGGAGAATTCAGACATCAAGACATTAAAGCTAGTTTCATTTTTTTCTCTAAATCATCTTTCCACTCTCTCATCTGTTACCAGAAAATCAGAAAATAGCATTAAATGATTCTCCAAAGTAACCAATCCAAAGTGTAACTGAGCTCTAAAATTTACATGTGGTCTTTAGTTTTGGCATATAACAATGTTCTATAATTTAGTCAAAGGTCAATGGAAGAACTCCTGGGTCTATTTATTTTCTTTATTAGGGTGATATGAAGGTCAAATAATTTTATCCTTTAAAAAAATTAACCCTTTTGCTTTTAGTGAGAAAATACTAACATCTATTACAAAGAATGTGCCATTTCTCTACTTCCTTTTCTTTTTTCAAATAAGTATGAGATGTTGTGCAATTATATTCTTAGTGAAAATCTGAATGCTATGACATTTGAAACAAATGTGCATTTTATTTCTTGCAGGTGCTTGCAGTAACAGCACAGACTTGTGTTGAAGTTTAGTCTAAAAGTTGAGTGCTAGAATTTGTGTGATTAAACAAGTCTTAAGAATTATTTTATTTGAGAACATTTATTGCTCAAATGTAAACTGCTGCTGAAGTGGTACTTACAAAGCATGTGAGGATTCCATTTTGAGCGAGATAAACCTTTCCCCTTTTAAGAAAACCAGCTAGTAATTATTCTTTGAAATTTTCCTTTACTTGTAGAGTTGCCTTACGAACAATTCCAACAATTTTAGCCTAGGTCATCCAAATAACCTCAATTCTCACAATGTTAAAAGACTAAATATTTGAAGTTTTGTGTCTTGAAAATTTTGAGGTGTGACAAGAACATATGTTCTTAATCTTTTAATCCTCCTACAATTTTTATTTATAAACTCTACAACCTTGTAGCTTCAAACTGGTTTTGTTTGTTTAAACATAATTTTTTATTATTAATGAATGCATTGTTGATGTTACAACAATCATATCTATCATTTACTTTATTTTTGAATTTTATTTATTTATTTATTATTTTTATTTTAGATTCAGGAGGTACACATGCATATTCATTACATGGATATACTGTATAGTGGTGGGCATTGGGTTTCAGGTGGCCCATTTACCAGATAATGAACATTGTGCCCTGTAGGTACTTTCTGAACCCTAAACCATCTCCTTCCTGTCATTTACTTTAAAATTATAAAATAAACCTAATATGAAAATCTTTTTGTGGGTAAATTATATGAAAAAAGTTCTAAAATACAAAATCTTGCTTTTAAGACACACTGAAACTAACCCTATCTCCCATCCTACCCCAGAGAGAGGTAGGTTTTTCCATAGAGCTCAGTGTTGCTGAGGCTAGAAGGGGTGTTTCACTGTGTAGAAATGAGCAGCACTGGACCCAAACTTTAGAGTTTGTTTATTCCCTCTGCTTTATAGAAGGTGGGTATTTCTGAAGTGAATTTTTAAAAATTGCTGATATTCAAATTGTATTTTATCAACAAGTAAACTGCAATAGATCCCATGAGCTTGAACCAGAAAGACTCAGTTTGGCCTGTAATAAATATGCCATTTAAAATCACCACCTTATTTTGCTTCAAATTAAGGCCCTTTCACTGAAAAATATTTTATGTAAAGACAAAGAGTATGTCAGTGTGTGATGTGGTAAATGGTATCTCCATGGGTCTCTTGGCAGATTAGATGAGGCACCTCATTGATATTCACAACCATAGTATACAAGGGCAGTGCTGCTGCTCTGCCAGGGTGCACAGGAGTCCATCCCTGGATATATATTATGTCACAGAACATTTGGTAATACTCAGAGCACTGGTATAACAGAAACATCTCCCAAACAGATGGGGTACATAATTATAATTTTGGTGAGTAATGTCTGATAATCAAAATGCATATTAAGCAGTCAAATGCAGCTCTGAAATGCCCATATTTACCTGAAACTACTTCTCAACTTCTATAAACAAGAAACTAAAACATCTACTATGTCGTGATATCTGACACACAGCTTGAAAATGACAGAGCATCATGATGAACAGAATGGAAAACTCTCAAGGAACTAGCCAGCAATATGTTGACAGTTGAAAGTCAATTAGTTTTATTTGAAAAATAAAAGTAGAATATAGACTTGAGGAGCCACATAGATTATAAACAGCTGGACTCTTGAAAACTAGGCTGTGAGTTAGATATGTATGTCATTCTTCTCAGAGAGGAACAAGGTAAGGTGATATATATGTTTGATCACTCAAGTTTATTAAAATATTTTCTTAATAATAAATATTGAAATAATATGATAATCTGATTGATTAATAATTTTCTTACATATGTCTGAAAATTAGTTAACAAATTGCTATTTGTTTTTGACATTCTGTAACTTATATGTGTGTGCTCTTACATCAATATTTCTAAGCTTAGAATATTTACACATATTTGGGTTGTGCTTTTAAATATGCAAATATGGGAGTTTTTTCCTTTCTAGAAGTCAAGGATTCTACTAGTTAACAATAAATTTGTTTTTATTTAAGTATTCATTTAAGTTCTATACATTATGTTTATTTTATATATTTATTTTTTGTCCATTAATTAATTCCACAAAGATTATCTGAATAACACGTAGGGCTCCCTTTTAGTTTCTCTACTGAAACTGCCTGTATAAAGTTAACAAAAATCCGCAAGGTTAGAATTGTAATAGTGGCCTGAATTTTGTCAGGATATAAGCTTAGCTAAATCATAAGGTTTTCTTTGACCTCTTCTTCCTCCATACATATTCTAGCCCCCAGGGCAACCTGCAAGATTAATAAACTTGCTTTTTTTTCTTAAGGAATAATCATGCCAACCTCCTTGATGGTATTCATAAGTTTAATTATGATAACATTGATCACTAGGTATTACCGTGATAACATTGATCACTAGGTATTACCCTTCTTGCATCCATTATTCATAAGATCTGTAACTTTCCCAATTGCTCCTACAGATGACATAAATGTAAGACTGATGTCTGAGATATTTTTCACACCCGTCATTCTGGTATGCCATATAATATCAACCGGATCAGTGACCCATGAACTCCACCCAGAAACTGACTTGGCACACAAAGACTATCTCAACACCTTGGTAATTTCATCCCTAACTAGTCAGCAGTCTCAATCCCTACCCCCTTTACTCACCAAATTACCCTTAAAAGCCCAGGCTCTGAATTCTTGAGAGGTGAACCTGAGAAATGTCTCCTGTCCCCCTTGTTCAGCTAGCTTTGCAATTGTTAAACTCTTTCTCTACTGTAGCACCTGCTTGGTCTTGACTTCTCTGAGCAGGGGGCATAAGAACATGGTCAGGTTGTAGCACTATTTTATTTCATGCTCCCGCAGGCAGAGATTTATATACATGTGTGTGTGTGTGTGTGTGTGTGTGTGTGTGTGTGTGTGTGTGTGTGTGTGTGTGTGTGTGTATACACACATACATATTTAATTTAACTTCTAAAGTGCTTCTTATATAGTAAGCACTCAAAACATATTAAACTTGATGGAAGAAAGTTGTTAAAATAACGTAGTTATTGGAATGAAGTTACCATAAAGTAAACAAATTTATCAACACCATCACCACACATTGGACAATCACTTTATCCCCTTTTATGTAATCTACTGTCTATTAAATAACCGAACACTAAACACACACACACCTGTCATTTCCAAGATTTTAGGAAAAAACAGTGTCCAGAATCGGCATTGTTGAGCACGTAGTTTAGTATATATTCTTGGTGACTCTGTGTTCAAGGCTAGATATTTTTGTTCAGTGCTTCTGAAGACTGGCCATCTTGTGCTATTGCTCTGGGTCCCATTTGGATTCCTAAATAATTAAATAGAGACATTATAGTTATATTGCAATCATTGTTAGAATGAAAAGAATATTGCTGTCTAAAGCTGTTCACAAAAGCTTTTAAATGTTCAGAAAAAATGTGAATATATATTGATGATGTCAAACATAAGTAAACTGGTTTGAATGATTTTAGTACCTTGAATAAATATGTTAATCAAAATTGTAGCAATTAAAATTTAAGGATAAATTTATCATGTACATTTCTGCTTAACATACAGGGATTAAAAAAATTTAAAATTAATAAAACCTTTCCATTTACACTTAAGCATGTCCAAAAGAGCAGTGTCACTTTTGTTTCATTCTCTTCCCTTATGCCGGGCCCAATCTTTTCAGAAGAGACAATGATACCACCTACTTAATAGCTCTGACATCTATTTCATTTTGTATCAATACTGCCTGAGTTTAGGACTGATTATCCATTTCCTTATTATGTAATAACCTCATTATTCTAGGAAACTGCTTCTAGTCTCACTCTTAAGTTCATCTAACATTCTTGTAGATCTGTTTACTAATTTAAAATCTTTCAGTAATTTCCCACTGAGTTAAGATTAAGGTTAATGGACATGATACCACCCACATTTCCTAGTTTATTTTCAGATATTCCCTTTATAAGCCAGCCCACAGGCATTAGGGATAATTCCCTAGTAATGTTTTCCTTTATTTCATTTCCTGGCTCTGCCCTAGCTGTTATATCTGCCTGGAATTCCTTTGTTTTCCAAACTCATGGGTCTAAGCCCATTCAGAACCTTCTTATTAATTTTTGATGATATTTCCCAGCTCTATAATTATGATATTATAATCAATTACAGTTGACTCTAAAGGTATTTATCATTTTGAGTTCATTTATACCTTTGTAGCACTCAATAATATAGTACCACCAAGGTCATACAAACAGAAACTCAAAGAGTTTTTTAAAAGTGGCTCTGAGTAGTCAGTCTCTGCTGATTCTATACATTTCTCTATAATATAATTTGTGTAATTATATGAGTTAGAAACTGATTTAAGCTCTAGAAATGCAAATAAATATGGAACACATGGTTTCCCTCAGGTAAGTTATAACCAAGAACAACCAATGAAACAAAGAACCAATAATATAAAAAAAGCCTAAACAAAGTATAAACAGAGGGCCACAGATTGTCAGAAAAGACAACCAATGAAACAAAGAACCAATAATATAAAAAAGCCTAAACAAAGTATAAACAGAAGGCCACAAATTGTCGGAAAAGGGAGTGATCACTAAACGTGTGAAAGGAAGTTACCTGAAGGAATGGATTCTGCCTGAAGTAAGGACAGAAAATCAGACACTGAACTAGAAAGAAAAGTTGGAAAAGCCAGAAAAAGGGATAGAATTAATATAACATTAATTATGAATCTGCTTCTTAGTTCAAACAAGGATGAAAAAACTAGTTTTCTTAAATTCAAGGGTAAAAGGGATACTATAAAAGTTATATGTTTAGGATATTAGTGTTATCACATTAAGATCTGACAGACTAGAGAGATGGTTTATATTTGAACTTGTAGGCGTTTACTATTCTAGAGGAATTTTTGACTAAATGGCTGTTGTGAATGTAATGTTTTAGAAATATTTATCTGAAGGAGGTATTTTGAATAAACAGGAAATCATTAAGTAGATACAAGTACTTCTATAATAAACAAACTATTAAAGTGATAAGGATAAGTAATTTATTTTTGACTCTTAGATTCATTCCACCTTATCTGAAATCATATAATACAAACTCCAGTCAAACTTTTCTAAAGTTCAGTATATAAAAAAATTTCTATTATATGAATGGCTCCTGTAGATTATTAACATATAATTTTGGGAGCAGGTTAGCAGATATACAATTTTTGTTTTTGTTTTCGCAGAGTCTCTGAACCCAGTAGAGTTTGGAAAGAGAAGCAGCCATTCATTCAGCATAGTTATCAGGAGGCAAATTTTGCCATCAAGAACTTATACTGAATAAGCACCATAAATTCATATCATCATAGACACAGGCAGGCTAAACCATGAGTCTAGGACCATTAGAGATAATTATGGATGAGTTGATTTTATGTAGGAATTGGATGATTTAATAAGAATTATTAATAACCAGAGCTATTCAACCTACACCAATATCATGGCAGGATTGAAACCTCCAGCTTTAAGGTATTATTTGAGAGAAGTCAAGAAGAAAAATTCTTCTGATTACAGTTGGCACACTTGTCTAGGTGAATTATGTAGTCTTTCTTTCTTTTTAATATCTTTAGAAACTAACAAGTATAGCTGCTGCAGGCTGGATATTAAACCAGGAGAACCATTGGTTTGATTTGGTACAGCAATTCTTACTTTTCTAAATTGCTCACTTTCCTTCTAATTCACTCTAATTTACTTATGGCACCATTCTAATTGCACATTCATTTCTGGGTTCTGCAAATGGTGATTTAAATGGAGTTGACTTGTACTTGAGTTTAAGAATGAAGAACTAATGATGCTGCCAGTGTTCATTTAACAAACTTTGTCCTGTGAAATAACTCATGACATTTCAAATTGTAATTTAGAAACATTAAAATTTCTTTGCCTATAGATACAGATATAGTTTTCAAAAAAATGATTCAAACAGCTATTGAAGTGATGAAGCATTTTGTTCCATAATTTGAAGAAATCTCTAATGACTTTAAAACATAACAAGAAAGACAATTCTCTTTCTGTCAGTATCAATTAAAAACTTTGTGAAATACAGCATATTTCCCAGATACACAATTTCAAAACACAATATAATTTTGATCCCAAAATAGTAAGAAGAATTTAAACATCTTGACTTTACTATTTTTCAAAAAACATTTTCTTCTCCTGTCACAAAATTTCAGTGATGATACACAAAATTTTCCATGAATCAGAGAAATCTACGCTCTATTTTATCTATGAAGTTCTTTCTCTACTTTGTGGTATATGAAAATTGTCTAAAGATCATCCATTACAATTTTCCTCTTATGTAGGTTTGAAAGGTTTTAAGACACAGCTTATTTAACAACAAAAATGTCATGGAGTATCTTTCTTTAACATCTGTGTTAAAGAAAATTACTTGCTTGTCATTAACATTTGAGTGCAGAGTTGATAATTCATTTTATGAAGAGATTAAAGAAAGCTACATTAATTGACTCAGGACGTCCTGATATGAAGAAAAAAATATTCCTCTCGCTTAAAAAAAATAAGTTTTCTTGGGATTATAGAATCTCAGTCCTGCCTACCCTATCCAGCACAGGAATTAAAATTCTCTTTGATCAAGGATCCAGAGACAGTCATTTCTAAGTAAGCTATATATTGATTTTTAAAGTGAATATATTTCAATGTGCCTTAAAACATAGTCAAATGAAGCCGTGGTTAGTAGATGTAAATTGAAAAGCTAGCTGAAATATTTCACTGTCAAAGAGGATTGTAGGGAACACTGTATATTGGACAATTTTTAAAAAGAGGTAAATATTCATAGACTCATATTCCATGCTATGTCACAAGCTATAAAAGAACTTGAATTCAGAAAACAAATTCATTCACTCATCATACTAATATTGATCGAGTACATGATATGTCAGGCACTAGTTGAGTTACAGGAGGTTCAACAAAGATAAAATAGAAATTTTGCATTTCACAATTTGTATTTGATGAGATAGAGACAAGAAATAAGATCAATAAAGAAAATATGCAATATGTTAGATAGTTGTAGGTGTTAGAGATACTAATAAAATGAATGGAGAATGGGGATAACAGGAAATAGTGAGAAAATATCAGTGTTGAGGGAGGTGGTGGTGAAGAAGGGCATAATAAAATATGTGATTTTCCTTTGCCCCTGGTTTGTGCTATGTAATCTCTAAACACTTGTAATCTTACACCACACACAATAGTTTATTCTGACAAGGAGCCTATGGAGGTCATCTGCTAACTTAAGCTAAAGAGATGACCCAAGGTGGGCTGGCCAAAAAGACCAAATATGTGATCAGGGGGCTGAGATTTTTAGACATGTGCTCTCAACCTGTCCTCCAGGGAGGGAAGGGGGCTGAAGATTGAGTTCAGCCACATGAGCATTGATTCAATCAGTCAAGCCAATATAATTAAAATACCAATAAAAACTCAAGACACAAAACTCATGTGGATTTCTTGGGCTAACAATGCTCCATAAGTACATTAGCACCATTTTTTCCATTAGGGTGGGTGATGGATCTCTGAGGACAGAGAAGCTTTGCATGTAGAATCCTAAGTCCCAGATCCTGCACTGTGTGTCCTTCTTTAGCTGTTTCTGATTTGTATTCTTTTGCAATAACATAACTGTAATGGTAAATATAGGGCTTTCCAGAGTTTTGTGAGTAGTTAGTTCTAGTGAATTGTCAATCTGGAAGGGATCAATGGGAACTCAGAATTTGTAGTCAACTAGGCTGAAGTGACAGTAGCCATGTGGCCCCTAAGCTTGTGATTAGTGTCAAAAATCTTGGACCAACATGGCAGCCTGGAGGATTATGCTCTTAAATTTGACTTTAGCTAACTCTGGACAGGAGAACTTTGCAATATTTAATAGAAAAGAATCTTTTAAGTGAATACTTGAAGAACACGGGTGAGCCCTGCAGTTGTTTGGGAGAAGAAGGAATAGAAAACATAGCTCCTGACATAAACATGTATTTGGAGTTTTCTAAGAAAACCAGGTAGCCATCAAGGGAGGGAGAGGTAGAAGATGAGGCTAGAGAAGGGACAGAAGGTGACATTATTTAGTAATCTGTAGGACTTTAAAAGCTTTTTATGTCTACTCTAAGAGAAAAAGGAATTGGAGAGATTGGACAAAGAAAGGAGAAGATTTCATTTACATTGTTCAGAAAATCATCTGGATGCAGTGCTGGGAATAGACTACAGGGGGTTCAAAGCCAGAGCAGGGAGTCCGGTGAGGAGGCTACTGAAATAATGTAGGCAAGACATGATGATTGCTCTGACTAGGGAGGTAGCAGTA